ACATGGGTTTTTTCCTGTAAATTGCACTGTAGCACACTCATCTTATAACTCTGAGAGAGAGAAATCAAAGACTTAGAAGAATGATTAAATCACTTTTGTGTTTTAAAATGCTACTGTTCTGTAAATATAGTGGCAATGGCAGCAGTTTTCAAATCTACTGAAAGTATCCCATTAAAATAATCAGAGCAAAACTAAAGAATCATGGACAATCCTATATAATAAAAGCGTAATATGCAAATCGACCGAACGGCAGAACGACCAATTGGCAGAGGGCAGGGCCAGCGAGCAGGCGGCCAGGCCAGCCAAGGCGCATGCCAGCGGGCAGAGGGAGGAAACGGCTATCAGCGACCGGCAGTGGCAGAGGGGCAATCGTGGGGGGGGGAGTGGCTGGCACCGTCCCCTAATCAGCCTGTCTGGTCACCTCCCACAGAGGGAGGCTGGGTGGCAATGGTGGGGTGATGGGGGTGGCGCCGTCCCTGATTGGTCCGGCGGCAGCGTAGTAACAGGGTGATGGGGGCAGCGCCATCCTCTGATCCCCTGTCCTCGCCTCCCGCAGAGGGAGGCCAGACTGCAGCTTAGGGAGCAGGCCTAAGCCATCAATAGGACATCCCCTGAGGACTCCTGGACTGGGAGAGGGCGCAGGCCGGGCTGAGGGACGCCCCCCTCCAGTGCACAAATTTTCGTGCACCGGGCCTCTAATGTATATAATAAAATTTAGTGCTGAGATTTGCCCTTAATTACCCAGGAACAAATTAGTGACAGCTTATAAGAGCCTCGTGATATCAGCAACTACACAGGGAGAGGCAGAGGGAAGGCCTTGAGACGAGGAGAACCTCCAAATCCCCAACAGGCACTCACTGTAAAGTGCATTGGGCCAAATTAGAGGAGCAATAGAGACTAGAAGTGTGCTCTCAATGATTCAATGCAAGAGTGAGCCAAAGGGGACTGTAAGGCAATAAGTGTTTATGCTATTAAAGCTGAGTCATCCCTAACAAACTGAAGAGCCTTCCACAAGCCTCCACACTAAGGAGAACCTGCAGGAATGGATTTCAAATTGAACAAGACAGGGACAACCACAAGCAATGAAAGAAGAAAGGGGAAGGGGAACAGAGGCAGCTGATCTCAGAAAGTTAACAAGGGATGTTGTTTTTATCACTTCACGAGAACAAAGGAGGAAGGCCTCTGAAGTTTTGACACCAATAAAGCTATCCTAGCCCACTTAACCTCTCCTGAAAGTACATGAAAATTAAATTAACTAATTTTTAAATTAACTAATTTTTAAAACTTGTCAACAAGAAAAATTTCAAAATTATTATGAGAAAAAGGGAATAAGAAAAATAGTGATTTTTCCACAGATAATGAAAGTATGCCAGAAAAACACATGTAGAAAACAGATAAAAACAAATATTTCAAAATGACCTGGCATAATTTAAGAAAATTATAAAATCCATTAAAGAACAATACTGTATAAGTCATAATTAGAAAAAGTCAGAAAAGAAATGAGTAGAACCCAGCCAGGTTCGATCTCCAGTGGGGGTGCATATGGAAGGTAGTTGATCAATGATTCTTTCTCTTTCTTTTTCTCTCTCTCTCTCTCTCTCTCTCTCTCTCTCTCTCTTTCTCTTTCTCTTCTTTCTCTCTAATAATCAATAATAAACATATCCTCAGTTGAGGATTTTTTAAAAAAGAAATGAGTAGAAAAGCTAACATTTAAGAAAATGATATAACTCAATATAGAATTCTCATTTTTAAAAAACAATTAAGTCAGAAATGAAAATTCAACTCAAATTTTGACACTATTCAAACACCACAATTTGAAGATTCATAAAAGATGAAAAGGAGGAAAACATTTTATATGAAAATCAATTTGAGATTAAAAATATTAGAGAAGCTAATAGATATAGGAGATACAGAAGATAGAACATAAATAAATAGGAGACCCCAAAGAAGAAACAAAGCAATGGATTTAAGAAGAAATACTAAATACTGTAGGTCGCCCTAACCGGTTTGGCTCAGTGGATAGAGCGTCGGCCTGCTGACTGAAGGGTCCCAGGTTCGATTCTGGTCAAGGGCATGTACCTTGGTTGCGGGCACATCCCCAGTAGGGGGCGTGCAGAATGCAGCTGATGTTTCTCTCTCATCGATGTTTCTAACCCTATCCCTCTCCCTTCCTATCTGTAAAAAATCAATAAAATATACTTAAAAATAAATAAATAAATACAGTAGCTCAAAACCACTTGAAACTGCATATTAAAACTTGAAACTACAAATAAAAGATTTTTATCAGACTTTCCTACAACACTTTATGCAATAAAGTAACAGATTTAACATGCTCAAATAAATAAATTGCAGATCTTGGATTTTGCACGGCATATGCATGGATTTTACAGCTATCCAACCGGACCCTCCAATGAAAAAGTTGCCCAGGCTTTTCTGCTTTCTCACTTCCTTGCTGTATCCCTACTATTATTCTTCTCTCTTGGCATCCAAGAGCCTTTGTGTTGGGTAGGTTCAGTTCTTTCACATGTCCTAGAAATGGGCACCAATCTCCAAGTGAAATTCTGAGACGTTAGGGTCTACATAGCAAAAGAAACTTATCTTCACCCAAGGCAAGATTGATAACCATGTGCTGTTATAAACATGCAAGAACTCAGAGAACAGTGTCCCTGTGCATCTTTTTAAAAGATCGACTAGAGAATAAGCTTCAGACAACCAAACATACTGTAAAGATTTTGACATAAGGGCTGCAGAAGTAGTCTAGCCAATAAAAAAGAAGGGTGGTAGATTCAGAATATCAGTATTTTCAATCCCTAAAGAGTGAGTGGACCGAGGATATGATCATTTGTGAATGATGACACCATAAAAGAGAACACTAGTGCCTCCTCAAGAAAGTACCCCTCAAGGAAGTCCTCAACATCACCCGCTAAAGACGACCAAACTTGAATCTGATCAAAATTCTAATACTACCCACATGAAGAAAACACAAACAACAGAAATGTTAACCACACCACACAAATACATTCATCAAAATCAAGACAATAAAAAATATGCAAGAAATGAATAAAAATAATGGAAGGGGAATTCATGGTGTAAAAAAAACTTAAGATACATATCAAATACTCATCATGTGTGGGCCTTGTTTGAATTGTATTTCAAATAAACTGTAAAAAAATATAATAGGGAAAAAATGAACACTGAGTATTTAATAATATCAAAACTGTCCTTATATTGTAAGTCTAATAATGGTATTGAATTTTTGTTTGTAAATTATCTTAATAAAATACTTACAGATGAAATAACATGTCTGGGAGTTGCTCCAAAATAATCTGGTGGCAGGGAGTAAAAATACAAAGGAAAAAAAGATTGGGAATGTATTGGTAATTACTTAATCTAGACAAGAGGTATAGTGATTCAATATGCTATGCTTTTTCTCCTTTGGCATATGTTTGAAATTTTTAATGGTAAGTTTTTAAAAGGCATAAGTAGTATTTACAAGCCCATACATTCTAGTCCTTAGACTTGCGTTGTGCCCCAGGAGAAATCCATCTTTTGAACACTGCTGAGCACATAGAGAAACTGACCCCAGTGTGTGTGTGTGTGTAGATTTTCAAAATAGCAATTCTCTCTGTTTTTTTTCAATTTATTTTTATTTTTATTTTCTTTATTGATTAATCTCTTCTACGCCCAAGTTTCTAACACATTTCACCTCACTCCTCATCTTGCAATTCAGTGGAATGCTTTTAGTGCGGACTAAAATTGCAGTAACTTCTCAGAGTGAACATTTAAGGATAAGGGAATTCAAACAGTTAACTTTGGGCCTGAAAATAAGCCACTAGAGTAATTGTTTCTTGTGTGTGCTGGCATATGGTGGCTTGCAGGGAAAAAAAAATAGCCTTGGTGTTTGAATTATAAATTATCACTCATCTCTTTCTTGTTCTCCATGTTTTCTTTCTAGATATTTCCACACAATATACTTAGGTATTCGAAGCCGACAGAGTGGGGAGAATGACAGATGGAGGTTTTACTGGAAAATGGTGTATGAGTATGCAGATGTGAGTATGCTGCATTTGCTAGCCACCTTTCTGGAAAGTGCTCCACAGCTGGTCCTGCAGCTCTGCATTATCGTACAGACTCATAGCTTACAGGCCCTCCAAGGTAAGGGCTTGCAATTTGGTTTCTGAATTTGGGGAAAGACTGACTGGCTACTTTTGTCACATCCAAGGAACTGTTCTAATACCCTTTGTTGATACAGGCCATGGTGCTTCCCGTTATATGCCTGCTGTTTGGCACTGAATTTGTGAATGATGCATATTTTGTTCTTGGCCATCACTTGTCAGCTCTAATTTGTAGAAAGACATTTGTTTTGGCCTTCAAGTTGCCCTCTGTGTAGGAAAAATGAATTTTATGATTTTGCACTTAGCCACTATGAAAATACAGTTAACTAAGGCTTTCTGGTTTGTATGCTAGAGTAATAATTTCTTTTACAAGTTGAATAAGAGTCATAGCTCTTTCTCTCTCTCTAATATCATCTATCTATACATATGAATATTAGGGTAATCTCTACAATTTTCTTTTGACTTTAAGAACCAGAGATGAAAAGAAAATGGTAGAGATTAGCTTAGTATTTTAAAAAGGACACCTGGAAAAAAATGTCAATATTTAACGATATATTGTTTATACTAAGTTTTATCAAATGAATCTCATTATCAGATCAATATTTTCATGTTTTGCTGTGTTGTTTGATAATCTCCTCAGTAGTACTCTCCCATTTATGACAGATTTGCTCTGATGTTTCTGAGGGCCTGCTGCTCAAATCTTTTCTAGAAGCAGAAAGATTAGACAGACCAGTGGTAGACAGGTGGATAAATAAGTAGATGGGTGATGGATAGGTAGCCATTTTCTATAGAAAGAGTTTCCTGGCAATGTGATAATCCTGTAACTTAATAGATGTTTTTAAACAGTTCACACACTATGCTCGTTTTGTTTCCATTTCAGCAGAGCTTGCTGAGACTTCCTGTCTGCACACACATGTCTGGGCCATGCTCTAACTTGAGACTTGATCTGGTTGGTCTGGAAAATCTCTACAATAATAGCGTTATAAATGTTCATAGCAAGAAGCACATTAGCGTAGGCTGAGTGCTTTAAGGAGGGAGTGGGAGAGGCCTATTATAGGTAAAGGAAGATGGAGGGTGTGGCAGTGACCCGTTTATTTATGAATTCCTGGTTCAAGCCTGGCTCCACGCTGAAGTAGCTTTGGTCTAGGATGTTTGAAGAAAACTCCAAAAAGATCCATGGGGTGTGATTCTCAAATGTCAGAAAGCAAATGGGAAGAAAGAGAAAGTGGAGTGTTTGAACAGAAATAGAAGAGAAAATGTGTGAGAAGGCAAGGCCTATCAATTAGTTGTGAGTGGCTATGTTTAGCAGTGAAAGCTGCACAAGGTGGATCTGGCTTTGGTTTTCTCATTTCTTGCTGTGAGAACTTGTGTAAGTCACTTAACCTCTCTGGGCCCCACTTCTCAAATGTAAAGGTCACAAGCTAAACTAGATGACCATTCTTTCCATCTTTGCATCAATAAGTGCCCAATTTATTGATGCAAAGATCTAGGGCCAGCCATGCATTAGAAAATGGTCTGTAAATGAGCATACAACTTGAAAGGCAACATCAAACAAAATCTCTGTCAAAGAATCCAGCTCTCATCTCCAGAACAACTTGGCCACTCCTTAGTATAGTTACACAGTGAAAACTCTCTGGAAAAGGAAAACCCAAGCACCAATGGAGGGTTGCTAACCACCTTCCTGTGGCCCAAGAGTACTGAGTGTCTCTGCTAATTGTCTAAATGATTTAGAAAATTATGAAGAAGTTTTTATCTTAAAGAGGGTGGAGATAGAGGAGGAAAGGCGAGAGAGGGTCTAAGGCAGCTGTTCTCAACCTGTGGGTCGCAAGAGAGGGTCTAAGGCAGAGGTTCTCAACCTGTGGGTCGCGGCCCCTTTGGGGGTTGAACGACCCTTTCACAGGGGTCACCTAAGACCATCGGAAAACACATATATAATTACATGTTGTTTTGTGATTAATCACTATGCTTTAACTATGTTCAATTTGTAACAATGAAATTGGGGGTCACCACAACATGAGGAACTGTATTAAAGGGTCGCGGCATTAGGAAGGTTGAGAACCACTGGTCTAAGGAAATGAGATAATCTTTCATTTTAAGAGTTTTATGTAAAATTTTATACAAAAAAAATAGAAAAAAAGATAATCTTTAGTTTTTATCAGACTATTAACCCAAAACATAGGCATCAAAATGTATGTTGGTTAGAGTTGTGGCTCTTTCCTGACACCACATATTCCCAACTTACCTGCTAAACTTACATTTGCATCAGGTTTGCTACCGACTTTGGGAACCAGACCTCATCCTTGGCCAAGGCAAGCCTTGATGTCAAAACCAGAAAGTCGTAGGGAAATTATGTTTCATATCACTCCCGTGGTGGTCAGACAAGTTGATGCCAAGATCACTAGGATCAATGCCGGTAATGAAGCACATGGTGAAGAACAAGCTCGCTAGGTTAATCTTACGGCTGCCATTTTTTAACAAGGAAGGTGGGCAGAAAGTTGTATTAAAAAACCAAAGAGTGAAAATACCTGACAGTGAACAACAACAACACAACCTCCTGCAAATAACCTCAGGCAATGCTATAGGAATCCTTTTCCATTTCGAAAAGAAATCTGTCTTCAGAAAGAGCTTCTAAATTCAATAATCCTCCTCTGATAAATGACAAAGGAACGAGTTTATAAATTAAATTGATATGAATAATAAGAACAGAGCTATTCCCCTCCAGAAAAAGAAAAATTAATGTGATGGAACCTAGTCTAACTTATATTTTCATACATCTTTATGGTAAAAGATGCTTGAGATTTATACGGAAAAACACAGCTTGTGTAGTGAATACCAATAATCAGTGGCATGACACCTGTGGAGAATTTGCAAATAGCTCTGAATTAAAATCTCTAAAATATTCTTATTTAGCAAATGGAGAGTGGTCCTAGGTCTGCAAGTCATTTTCTTATATGACTATGCCTAAAATTATTTTTTAGGATAGAAAGAAAATTGCTTTTTTAACCTGACTTTAGCCATCTACTACTCGCTGAAGGATACTCTTTGAAAACCAATAAGAAAATCAAACAAGAAATATGACATTTAAAAACTTTTCTTTAAAAATTATATTCTTCTTATGGAAGTTGATATAGCTCTGCAATATACTGTTAGCTGTGAAAATCTTTTCTCCGCTCTCCTTACTTATTGAATAATTAAATCAGAGACAGCTCCTTGTGCTGCAGGCTGACAGGTTCCGTGGAGAACTGTTCAAGTATAATTGTTTCTCAGTTTGTACTGTTCCAGGAAGGACAGATTGGTTCCTGTTCTGAGACCAGCAATCAGGGAAGAGCGGAACCTTGAATGTGAATGCAATTTTTTTCATGCCACACTGTCCCTTAGACATAACTGCTGCATTTTCCCTAGGAACATCCAACTCTGAGTATAAAGAACACTCAAGGAGGTCCAACAGTCCATGCACAGCTAAGACGGCACAGTAGGTGTTACAGCACCTGGTAGAGCATCTGTGATCAGAGAATTTCCAATTTATACTTTGCTATGATTTTCTAATCCAATCCCATATCCCCACCAGAGGGGGGGGAGAGGTGAAAGCAAGGGGAGGGAGAAAGAGAGAGAGTGAGAGAGAGAAGAGAGATGGGGCAGGGGGGAGAGACTGCCTGGTAAACAGAGATGGGCAATGGAACTCCCGTTAGTCTCCATGCAGAGGACACATCACCAGGAAGATGTGGTCCAAGACCTGTCATTTCTATTTTCAAACAACATCTCAGCCCCATCTAGGACCTTTGATTTTATCTAAATGGTGAAAGCAAAGATAGGAAGATACGTGTTCACCTTCTATAGAGAGCAGGTACCCTACCTGGCCTTTGCACAGCCCTGAGAATCTGTAAAATGAGCAGACTGGACTAAAGGGCTTCTAAAGTCACTGTTAGTTTTGTGAGTGTATTCTCTGAACATTCAGTTTTGATTTTGTAGACCCAGCCTCCTATAGCTGACAGAGAAGATACTGACTCATTTACAAAGAGCCCACACAAGCATGTCAAACTCGCGGCCGGTGGGTTGCATGCTTCATTATTTAAACAAGGCATGCGGCCCACCGGCCATGAGTTTGACATGCTTGGAGGCTTTCCCTAGCAATGTAGCAGCACCATGCTCCATGTGGTCCATGAGCGTTCTCCACGGAGCAGCCTGGGGAATGCTGTGCAGGACCAGGGCATGCCATGTAACCTTCACAAAGAGTGTGTGCAAACCACAGTCCAGGCTGCATTTAACAGTCACCTGACTCTGACAGACAGGTGTGCATGCCCATCATGCAGAAACAACCCTTCCTTGTAGAGGAGCCATCTAGATAACACAAAAGAAATCAGACCATTACCAGATGCGAGTGGTTGCCAGTCTACCAGCCCAAATGTTTCCACTTTTCCCTGATAGCTCTAGTTCATTTCCAATCTCCACCCTTTCTTACTCTCATTGGAAAATCTCATTCTGCACTCTAAATGTATTTCGCTGTCATGTGTAGAGTGAGTTATGAACAAATGCCTTCCCACAGGAAGACTTTGCTGAGCAGGAAAACACACTTACACCTACTTCTATTCTGATTTCTTCGTATTCTAAAAACTCGCGTATTGCCCCTTTTGCCAACAGTTTATTGTGAATAATGTGTAAGAGAGAGAAGAGAGGGCTGAAAGAAGTTTCTAACTATTCTTGCCTTGCATCCTGTGAGACTGCCGAGGAAGTCAGAGTTAAAGGGGCTGTCCCCATACTTGTGGCAGACACTGTCCCAGCTAACGAGAGTAACTAAGACCCCCTGAAGTGAGAAAACCATCTCATTTGTCATATCCTGATGAGGACTTTCAAGACCTAAGTCATTGGATTTAGTTATTCAATGTTGTAGTAAAGCAGGTAGAGCCACACCCAGCTACCTTTACTTGTCTCAGGTTAGAGAAGAAACCCAGCTACCTTCAAGCCCAAGTCCTTCCATCTCTGCCCCGTCTCTGCATGTGCCTGAGTCCGTCCACCTTCCACCTCTGCCCCCTCTCTGCATGT